TTGGGTGCTCAACAAAATAATAGCCTATATATAAAAAAGGGAAAAAGGTCGGCACACCTTGGCTCCAAAAGTTAAACGCACCCCTGCCTTTATACTCACACAGCACAGGGCTGGACTGGCCATAATATTATAACTATTATTATATAGTAGTGTAATGTAGACAGACACTATCACAACTAAAAAGAGTTTTGAGTTTTTCTTTGTTCAATTTGCACACTGCATATGGGTTGGAGCTCTTTATTTTGAACTCTCAAAGTGCACCAGATTGATGAATTTAACATTAAAAAGCACAAAATTTTCTTACGGGGGAGCATGCCCCCGAACCCCCCTAGAGGGACAGAGGTGCACTCTGCACTCACCACAGATTTACCAAAATCCGATGGGAAAAAACGGTATTGCTATCCCAATGCAGCTTATAGCTTGTTTTAGGATTCATCACTGTGGAGTATAGTTCAACTTAGTAGTTATTTCATCTATTAACTCTAACTCAGTGGTTTTTATAGGAGTTGGTATACATTCGGTTGTGTTTATGATTATATGTAGTGGGCCAGTCTGGGCCAAAATGCCCGGGCCGATTTTTTGTCCCAGTCCAGCCCTGTACTCACAAATTAAATTAAGTACATATACGTCTGCCATGTTGCCACCCCTCAAAAATTCCTGCCCCCCTCTTGCCACCCCATAAATATTTTTCTAGATCCGCCCCTGCTCACGATACATATTTCATATGCGATATCTAACTTTGTTCGATGATGTGTTATCGTCACTTCAACAATATGTGCGAGATATGCTTCATATGAGTCGTTTTTGCTGTATAAACACAGTAAGAGTAGCTATCCTTGCCATTTTTGAGTCATTCCAGGTTATCATTGTCTACACATGCGAAGGTCATGTATGGGTCAGTCTACCAGCCTTCACACCGGACATGTGGATGAAGGGGAACAGAAAAGGGCAGGTGGGAATGGGGCGGCACCGTTGCCTTCTGGGATTAGCCAATCCGTGCCATCTGCTAGCGGCAGCGTAATCCCGTCAATGAGAAAATCAATTGTCTAAGTAAATATCAAAGGCATGTAAGCTCATTTTGGCAAGTAACTTAAACATTAGGAGGACTTAAGTTAAAAGACCATGTTAGTGCTGAGCAAGGGATAGGGAGGCTTATTCATCGGGTGCAACTCGCTGCTGAATCGTCAAATAAGGATCAAGCTGCTATTAGCAGAGACAACAAGAAAATAAGACTCGCAGTAATAGAAAAAAACTGTTTAATATATATGGATGTGTTTGTCTTTATACAAACTAGAAATACAAAATGTCTTGTCTAATACATGAAAATAATTCATGTTTAAATGACATATAAAATTAAATATTTATTTTTTAAATATATTTTTTAAATACTAGTATATATATATATATATTATAATTATTAAATACTTAATATTCATTTATTTATTTTGTAATTAGTGGGAAAAAAGTATATTTAAAATAATTTTAGACCCTTAAATTCACAATAATAAAAATGAATTGTATTTATACAGAAGGTAGACACTGTTGTTATTATTAACTAAAACTTAAACTATTAAAAATAGTTTTAGTTAACTGAGATAAACTTTTTAACAACGATAAAATAACGATAGCAAAAATATATTGAATTATTGATGCAAAATATTGTAGAAAAAAGTTAAACTGCAGTTAACAGAGAAACCAAACTAAGATACAGTAATTAAAAAGTATTTGATAAATATGTTGGTGTTGTCTTTATACAAATTATTTAAATTATATAAATATATATAATTAGATTACATATATATTAGGGCTGTCAAATGATTAATCGCGATTAATCGCATCCAAAATAAAAGTTTGTGTTTACATAATATATGTGGGTGTACTGTGTATAATTATTTTGTATATATATAAATACACACACATGCATGTATATTTAAGAAAAAAATATTATTTATATATAAAATATTTGTATTTATATATAATCAAAATTATATATAAATCTATATACAGTATATACATGAAAATATTTCTTAAATATTTACAAGCATGTGTGTGTATTTATATATATAAAATATTTATACACAGTGCACCCACATATATTATGTAAACACAAACTTTTATTTTGGATGCGATTAATCGCGATTAATCATTTGACAGCCCTAATATATATATATATATATATATATATATATATATATATATATATATATATATATATATATAAGCTAAAAGAATGTTCCAAACATTGCTATTTTTGTTAACTAAAACTATTAGAGATCATTTAACAGAAATAAATCTGGGGAAAAAATATGTTTTTTAAACTTAAAAACTTAAAATGTAGAAATGTTGCCCTGGCAACTAATTGAAATAAAATAAGTTGAACTATTAAACTTACTAAAACTAAAACTGAAGTAAATATAAGTTAAAGCCAAATAAAAATAATAAAGACAATAAAACCTTATTGAAAATATTAACAAATATATAAAATATATACACTCACCGGCCACTTTATTAGGTACACCTGTCCAACTGCTCGTTAACACTTAATTTCTAAGCAGCCAATCACATGGCGGCAACTCAGTGCATTTAGGCATGTAGACATGGTCAAGACAATCGCCTGCAGTTCAAACCGAGCATCAGTATGGGGAAGAAAGTTGATTTGAGTGACTTTGAACGTGGCATGATTGTTGGTGCCAGAAGGGCTGGTCTGAGTATTTCAGAAACTGCTAATCTACTGGGATTTTCACGCACAACCATATCTAGGGTTTACAGAGAATGGTCCGAAAAAGAAAAAACATCCAGTGAGCGGCAGTTCTGTGGGCGGAAATGCCTTGTTGATGCCAGAGGTCAGAGGAGAATGGCCAGACTGGTTCGAGCTGATAGAAGGGCAACAGTGACTGAAATAACCACTCGTTACAACCGAGGTATGCAGCAAAGCATTTGTGAAGCCACAACACGCACAACCTTGAGGCGGATGGGCTACAACAGCAGAAGACTCCACCGGGTACCACTCATCTCCACTACAAATAGGAAAAAGAGGCTACAATTTGCAAGAGCTCACCAAAATTGAACAGTTGAAGACTGGAAAAATGTTGCCTGGTCTGATGAGTCTCGATTTCTGTTGAGACATTCAGATGTTAGAGTCAGAATTTGGCGTAAACAGAATGAGAACATGGAACCATCATGCCTTGTTACCACTGTGCAGGCTGGTGGTGGTGGTGTAATGGTGTGGGGGATGTTTTCCTGGCACACTTTAGGCCCCTTAGTGCCAATTGGGCATCGTTTAAATGCCACGGCCTACCTGAGCATTGTTTCTGACCATGTCCATCCCTTTATGGCCACCATGTATCCATCCTCTGATGGCTACTTCCACCATGTCACAAAGCTCTAATCATTTCAAATTGGTTTCTTGAACATTACAATGAGTTCACTGTACTAAAATGGCCTCCACAGTCACCAGATCTCAACCCAATAGAGCATCTTTGGGATGTGGTGGAACGGGAGATTCGCATCATGGATGTGCAGCCGACAAATCTGCGGCAACTGTGTGATGCCATCATGTCAATATGGACCAAACTCCCTGAGGAATGCTTCCAGCACCTTGTTGAATCTATGCCACGAAGAATTGAGGCAGTTCTGAAGGCAAAAGGGGGTCCAACCCGTTACTAGCATGGGGTACCTAATAAAGTGGCCGGTGAGTGTATATTTAAAAAAAAAAGCATTGGATCCAGGTGCTTTGTGCACCTCCTATAACAACAGCAGTGGGTGGTTCGGGACACCCGCGCCTCAGTGTCCTACTTCAGCCCCTGTGTAAACCCCATCAGAGTTAAGTTAATAGGATCTGCTGCCGTGAGGATGGAGAGACGGGATTGGTGTCGTAGTGCCAGGCGATTTCATTAAATGTGTAGCTACTTTACATCAGCCATTTACCTGATAGGGGGAGAACGGGGTGATTTACCTGTGGGGAAGTTGAGCCACCCTTTGTTTCTTAACCACCAACAAAAATATCGGTCATGTGACCAGTTACTCACCCTGTGACAGAGAGAGGACAATAGAATACGTGGTAAGGACATTTAAGTAAAAAAAAAAAAAAAAAAAACTTGTTATGTTCAAGGAGTCATGATTCATGTGTCTGAACAATTACAGACAGTTTGAAAAAAATGTTTTAGGAAGTTATAAAGGGTATACTGTCAACATGGTGTTAGCTCTAAACTGCTAGTTTTTGTTAAAATGCAGGGAGTGGGGTAAATTGAGCCATGACATAATCACCCCTTCTTATAGTTATTATTAAAGTATTACTTTACTGTAATTCTACATTTCAATCTTATATTTTATCATTGAAATGACGTGACATTTTGACATGTAGACCAAAAATCGTTATGCCACGCTTAAACAGAAGACAAACAGGGGCTTAAAGTCCTCTTGTAGAGTTGGACAGATCGATGGAGACAGTGGACCTCCAGGAGCCCAGTTTGACACCCATGATATAGCATATGAGGTGAAAATGTTCAGTTTTGCTTCAACATAATCAGTGGCACAATTTACTCATGTGGCTCAACTTACCCCTCATTGGGGGGCAAGTTGAGCCAAGAGACCACTTTCTTTTGAAAAGTCGTGTTTTGAAAAGAGTTCATTTTAGATCCAAAGTGATTATTCCCAGGGATGCACCACATCCTGAAATGTATGGACATATTTTAGTTGGACGCATTGCTGTCATGCCTTTTTACTTTAAAGACACCTCAAGTAAAAAGTGGCTCAATTCACCCCGCTCTCCCCTACTCTCCAAATTTGGGAAGTCAGTAACAAAAATAACCTAGGTTAAATAAATGATGAACTAACTGAGTTTTTAATTTTACATCTGCACTATGACAATGTTTTGATATCATACAGTTATTCATTTAATACCAACATTTATACAAGTGCAACTTTAGTGTCTAAATACTTTTTGGGGCCATTGTATTTAAGGATAAATACATTATTAAGAAAGAAGATTAACTTGCAAATCATTCTTGCAGAGGTCTTTATTAATAAAATTGACATTTTCTTTAGCAAAAGTCAGTTTACATGATCATAAAAAAATATTGTGCAAATTCAGAAGCAATATTCCAGTGCACAAACGAATCCCTCTTCAGTTTTAGTGGCTAATCGGTGAACTACAGCCCGTTATACTCATGCTTACAGTGGCCAACAAACAGAGGCTCCGCCTGAATCCCCCGCCTGCACAAACACAAACACAAGTCAATCATTTTTATCATTTAAAACTCAATTTCCTCCCTGAAAATCTTAAATAATACGCTTTAAACCCTGTAAAGCCTGACATGTGAAACAATAGTCCGAATGAAATGTTTTACGAAAATGTAACAGTTTATTGAACCTTTAGACAACATATTTAAAATAAAAGTTGCATTTGTGTTTTAGTTGAGTATCATATTTGATACATCATGCTTTTCATGGCTCATATAGTATGATATAGTGAGAATATGGAGCTCGTATTTGAGGAGGAAAGAAACACATCGATTTTATTCAGAGGAACAAACTGAGCGAAAATATGCATTTTGGTGAAGTTTCTGACGTTTATATGGCTAAAATGTAAGATGAAATTCTGATAGCTTATAATCAATGAGATCTTCATAACAGTATAATAGACGACTTGCATATATATCAGTTGTCACTCTATATCTCCAAATACTATGTCTTACTGTAGTAAGATGACATTTAAATGCTTAGTTTTATGATCAAAGCTATAGTTTTTATAATGGAGAGGAAACATATAATGCAACGCAATAAGAATGATCAAGAGATGAACAAATAAACGTTCATCAAAAGCCCGATGTATCATATTTGATACTCACATTTTAACATGATTTTTCTAAAAAAAAAAAATTAGAAAGTTGCTTTAGTCCAGTCTTTGAATATTAGGTTTTATAGGGTATAAAAATATGAAATATTGAATTTTGTATGTGTACAGTGTGACTAATAGAGGTTGATAAAGAATATAATTTCAATACCTTAGAAGTTCACAGCGAAACTCTTCCAGGCGAGGGAAGGCCAGATCTGCGTTCAGAGTTTTTTCTTCATCGCTCCACAACCTCTCCGCTGCAGCACAGGCTCTTGGCCTTCACAAACACAAGCACAAAGATTTTGCAGCAATCATAATAATATAATTAATGATCTTGTCAGTGTATTTTTTCATACCACAGACGTGGGCTCAGATTGGTGGCGTCGACATATTCACCCCACATGGCGACCTCTCCACCGATCACCAACTTCTTTTGTTCTTCTGTCCCTAAATCATAGAAAAAAATACACAAATTTAATCAAATACTTTTTTTTTATTGGCATCAATGGTTCATGAAGAACATTTGGAATGTTTCCATTCAACAAAAGGTTCTTTATAGTGAAAAAAAACGGTTATTTGGATTTTTTAAATGTTCTTCACACTAAGAAAATAATGGTTATTTTTACTGTTCTGTGGGAGATAAAAATGGTAATTCATCTATGGCATTGCTGTGAAAACCTAATTGTACTTAAAAAACTCAAAAAGCTATAACTTAAAAAAGAAGCTAATTATAAATGCTGTCCTAGCAACTAACTGAAAATAAGAAAAAATAAAGTTTAAGCTAAAGCACTAAAAATACAAAAAAAAAATGTTTTAAATGAATTAAAAAATTTTTTTTGCTCTTCTGTCCCTTAAAAATGGAAGAATGTGTACATTTAACCAGATACACACTGAAATACACCAGCACTGCACTCCAAACAACAACAACAAAGCAAACAAAATGGTTAATTTCACTAAAAGTTAAAGATAATAGTTGATTTATCATTAATTACAATAGTTCAGTGTCATTAATTAGAGCTAACTGACTAATTCTGTATGCTGAATTTACTAAATTAACTTAAGCACCAGCCCAGAAATTAGAATCAACTGTATCTGAACCAGGAAACGGCATCAAGTTCTTATTAATCGCCCATTTGCTTTTCTATTTCATACCAAATATTTCAATATTGACCCCAGCCTAACATGCTGCTCCACACACCGGAGAAATTCTGGGGCTGCACTGCGTAGGAAATACGCCAGTCCTGGCCGTAGCTGATGTGGTTGATGTACCAGGGGGCAGAGAGCAGAACCCTGTGCCCGGCCTTGGTCATCTTGCTCAGTTCAGCCTGGTAACCTTTACCCTTCCAGATCTCCAGAACCGTGTCCTGTGGAATCTGAGACAGTGTACAGACAGGAAACACTGGGTCACACGCATTGCACTCTTCACGCTTTATAGGCCTCTTTGGATTGAGCAATAACCTCGGAGTTATTTTGTGCATAAATGCAACCTTTTGGGGCTTTTACCACTTTTATGGAGTGTATTGTGAGGCGAGGTCAGGAAATGATGGGGTGAAGAGGTGGAAACGAGATTTTAAAAACGTCGCAAGCTAGACTCAAAATCAAAAAGCCCAAAAAAGCAACAGAACTCAGCATCTTAACCACTAATCCACAGCTCTAAAATAAAATAAAAAGTTATTTTGTGCATAAATGCAACATTTTGGGGCTTTTACCACTTTTATGGAGTGTATTGTGAGTCGACGATAGGAAATGATGGGGTGAAGAGGTGGAGACGAGATTTAAAAAATGTCGCAAGCTAGACTCAAACTCAAAAAGTCCAAAAAAGCACCAGAGCTCACAGTTCTGACAAACAAACACAACTTTTTGTTTCATTTTGCTTTATATGTTCTGGGAGGCTGGTCTTGTGTTACATGTACACAGACACGTTTCACCTCTAAAGTCGACTCCTGGTTGACACCTTCTGGTAAGACAGTGCTTTGCAACGATTGTGCAGGATTCTGGGCAAGAGGGCAGCGTGGGGAACATGTAATTTTACACTCTTATGTTTCTCTTAAAATAGTTATTTACTAAGTATTAGATGCAATTCCTATTTAAAAGGATACCAAAATAGAAAGTCCAGTGTCGTTACTGTTAACTAAAACTACTCTATTAAAAATGTATTTAAAGTTCATTTAAATGAAAGCTGAATCTAAAAATAAAAATATGAATACAAACTATAATAGAGTATAAATAAATAATAATAAAATAACAGATAAAGTCATGCTTATCAATAGCATGTTTGTTTGATTCTCACACAGAACACACTTTCACACTGGACTGAATTAAAATGTTAGAAAAAGTATCACTGCACTGAGACACAGCACTGCAATCTCTTGTACTTGTTAGTGTTTTGCACTCATGCTCTGACCCTTAAAGGCTAGGGGCCGCACGATGTAGTAGCGGGCCCAGCTGTGAGTCGGTATCGGCAGGTCGAGGTAGAAAGGAGCCGCCAGGATGACCTTTAACCCTGCTTTAGTCACCCGGCGCATCTCGCACAGGTAACATCCCTGTTTCCAAACCTCCACCACGTACTTCGCTCTGGGCTAGAAGAGAAGCGTCTCGTTCCGGTTAAACCACACGCACTGCTTTGTGAGGTTTGAAAGCAACCAGTGTAGAGCAGATTTCTACTCACTCGCTCACGGTAGTCAAACACGTCCTGCCAGACAATGGAGGTTTTGTTGAGCGCGGCAGTCATGTTCATTATGCTAAAGAAGAACATAAAGAGAGACATAAAGACACAGAAAAACCATAGACTGCGTTCACGAATGCTCTATTTCTTATGTTTATGCAGTAAATCTGTAAAATAAACAGTTTGTTCATAATTTGATCACAAGAAAATTAAAATACTAAACATTAAAACAGAATGGAATCAATGCAGTCACAAGTGTGCTTATATCAGTTTTTTTTTAAATGGTTTCAAACATGGCTTAACACATATTATAAATATTGATTATAGAATCTGGGATTAAACTTGTTAAAACTAACTTAAATTATTAAATGTTTTCAATATATATTTATTTATTAAATAAATTGTATTTATAATAATGCACTTTACATTTCAAAGGATCAGTTGAAGGAAAAGCAGCCAACAAGTGATGCTGTCATTCTAAAACGTGAAACATATTAATAATAAAGTTGCTGTATCCAAACATCTGACTTGTGGTATATGTACACTACTTTTCAAAAGTAGCATATATTCAAATTGAAAAAATTGTAATTTAAAATTGTAATAACATTTCATAAGGTATTTTTAGTGAGCATGAGAGACACAAAAAAAAAACATAAAAAAAATCTTACCGACCCCAAACTTTGAACCATAGCGTATGTAGTTTTAGAAATTTGAAACACTCTCACAATTCTACTAACCTCTCCATATAGAATGATTCCAGTTTGGTAAAATCCTTCCCAAAGCCCATCTTTCCCATAAACTTTCGCACATTGGGATTGGACTGCCTGTTTGAGAGAATAACTTTGTTAAAATCTTCACATAAAACAAAAAAAACACCTTTTTGCTAATGCAGGCACCCAAAACATGTCAAAAGTGCTTACCAGCAGGCAAAGCTGACCTCATCCCCTCCTAAGTGAACATATGAGTCAGGAAAGACATATTTCACCTCTTTCAAGAGGCGTTCCATGAACTTATAAGTGGTGTCTACCGTTGGATCGACGGGTCCAAATGAACCAGAGGGTACGTCTCCCTTGTAACAAGGTGTCAAGAGGTCTGGCTGTCCTGAAAATAAAGGACAAGCATCGTTATTCGTTGTAGGGTTTTCAAATGATACCATTTGGTGTTTAAAAAAAAATAAAGTATTTCCAGCATTTCTGCAGTATCGGTAGTACAAAAAAACCGTTGAGCACATATCTGTTGAGCGCATGAACGCAATGGCCAATCAGAGGTGCTGGTCAGTAAGTCAGTCAGAATCTGCTTAAACCCACTCTTCTCTTGGTTTCTGTTTATTATCCATTCACAATCTGAATACAAGTTTAGTTTTTCATGCTGCTCAGTACGCTGCAAAGTTAAGGATTGACAACCGTATTTAAAAAACGCAACTGAATCGGAAACTGCGATGACTGACTGTTATACGTTTTTTTGCTCTGGTACCAAAATTTGTACCGGATATTGGTACCGAATACTGAAATTCTGGTACTGTGACAACCCTAATTCTTTAAAATTATTATTTATAATATCTGTTTTCTTATTCTTCTAGGAGATGTGTGCAGTGTTGGCCGTAACGCATTACAAGTAACGCGAGTTGTGTAATCAGATTACTTTTTTCAAGTAACTAGTAAAGTAACGCATTACTTTTAAATTTACAACAAAATATCTGCGTTACTTTTTCAAATAAGTAACACAAGTTACTTTGTTTTCCCATGTATTGACTGACAGCTCTCCTGTCCCCATGTTGAGAGAAATCAGGAGTAAGTGCTGAGTAAACATGATGTAATTGTAGTTCTAGACTAAATGCGAGCAGGATTTACTAATTTCACTTGCACAAAAACAGATTCAGTATTCCTCAAACCTATTAAAACAGCTAAATGGAAACTCAAAATATTACGCAAACCTGCAATAATGAAATATGCTACATAACACAAACAGCCTACTTTATGTATTTAATCTCACTTTATTAACCAATGTCTTTCCTGCTGACCCTTGATGATACAATTTCTACTATATGAACATCAGATTTGTGTTTAATTTCTTCTCCTTCATCTTATTCTTCTGCAATCCAGAATGGCAGCACAGCTGAATGGTTTGTTTAGGCTGCGCCCTCTATTGTACAGATGTGATTTTGCAGTTATTATTGAGTTCACTTTTGGTGTGAAAGGTTATTAACATTTGCCAAAAATAGAACTTTTTTTTTATTATTAAAAAAAAAGGGCTACGCAAGCCCATCCCAGATGAGAAAAAGTAACGCAACATATTACTTTCCATAAAAAGTAACTAAGAAACAGCATTAGTTACTTTTTTAGAGAGTAACACAATATTGTAAGACGTTACTTTTAAAGGGGTCATATAATGGTACATGCACTTTTACAAGTTGATTGTACTGAAATGTGTGTTGGCAGTGCCTGTACACAAACATCATATAATGATAAAAATCCATCCAGTGGTTTTGTTTTAATCTCCTTATATGTTTTCCCCTGCCTCAAATCGAGCCGTTCGTTTTTGTGACGTCAATAAAACGGACGCCCCTCCCACGATTGTTGATTGACGGGAGCGTTTCAACACAGACCCGCCCTCGCACATGAGGTAGCTGTCAATCATAGTCTGCGCGGCGCGGACCGGACCGGCGCGGTCATTGTTGATGTGCCGGAGCACTGTCTATGAGCAGAATGGCATCTAAGCGATTGCGGTGTTCTGTTCTTGGGTGTAATAACGAACACAGCAGTCATTTTAATGTTCCTAAATCCGAACCGCTGAAGACGCAGCCAGTGGCTGAGTTTGTTTTCGAAGGGAATATTCCCCACGAGCAACGTCAATGCTCTCATGTTTGCGCGAATCATTTCACACACCGGACTGCTTTATAAACGAGGGTCAGTATAAAGCTGGATTTGCTAAGAAGCTTTGCTAAAAAGGATCGGTACCAGATATTCGTGTTCCTGCTGAACCTCCAGAAGAACGGAAGTGAGTGAAACGTTTTATTAAACTTTATATTAATATATTAATCTTTGCAAATCGCTAGCTGCACGCTTCACAATGAATGCGTCTAAGGTTTACACTCAGTCAGGGTACATTACGGCATGTTTTCTATGTATGACGTTCTCAATATAATTCATAATTCCACGTTCATAATTCCACTGAACAACGCGTTGTGGTTATTGTGTTATTGTGTTACAAACGGTGTACGCACAGAACAGAGAGGCGGGGTGAGCAAAGCTCATTATCATTTAAAGGCATATGCACTGAAACGGCGTGCTGAAAACAGAGCTGTTTTTGACCAGGTAAAATAAGTGTTTTCTTACAATACTAATGAGAATTTTTAATTAAAGTATATTACAAACTTTTAATTTAGACCCTAAATAATCATATTAGCTTGTACAAAAATGGCATTATATGACCCCTTTAAAAGTAACTTTCCCCAACACTGTGTGTGTGTGTGTGTGTGTACCTTTCCCCCATGACTGAGTGTGTCCAGGCGAGTCAAACTCAGGTACGACTCTAATGCCTCTCATTCTTGCATGTTCAATCACTCTCATCACATCTGACTGCGTGTAGATATGAGTGAACGGATGAAAAGCTCCCTAGAAGAAAAAGATATGCTTGTGTTGTTATTGGCAACTAAAACTCTTTTTTTTTTAAATCACTTGTTAATTAAAATAAAGCTCAAATAAAATAAAGTTAGATGAAAAACTAAAGCCCGTTCACCTTATTACTGAGGTCAGGAAAGGTGCGGCTCTGATACGGAAAAGAGGGATCATCCACGATGTGCCAGTGAAAGACGTTGAGTTTACTGTAAGCCATAGCATCCTAAGGAAAATTCAAATTGAATTGATTTATTTCACAATACTTAAAACATTTATTCAGCAAGGAATTAAATTGATCAGAAGCGACAGTAAAGACATTTATTATGTTACAAAAGTTTATATTGAAATAAATGCTGTCTTTTCATCATTATAATAATAAAAAAAAATGATTGAGCAGCAAATCATCATATTGGATTGATTTTTGAAGGATCACGTGACACTGAAGACTGGAGTAATGATGCTGTAAATTCAGCTTTGATCACAGAAATAAATTACATTTTAAAATATATAAAAATAGAAACACTTATTTGAAATTGTAATACTATTTTATATTATTATTACTGTATTTTTGATCAAATAAATTATGCAGCCTTTGTGAGCATAAGAGACTTCTTTCAAATACATTTTAAAAAATCGTACCGACCCCAAACCTTTGAATGCTAGTGTATAATAGTAAAAAAAATATTTTTGAATACAATTTATAATGAACAGTAAATACATACCAGGGTCTTCAAAATAGCATGGAGGGGTAAATAATGCCTTGAAGTGTCCAGTAAAAGTCCTCTAAATGCAAACCGTGGGAAGTCTACAATCTCTGTCTTGTTGAGAAAATACTGCATGGAAAAGTCGATTAAAAGAACATATTTAGCATGCTAATATACCGCGACAATCACATTCACATGACTAAATACCATCCGTCACACAAAACTTACAGAGCCATAATCGTCCTGGTACACAAGCTGACTGAAGGACTCCAGACCTGATTTTCAGGTTTCATAAGTTGAAAAAGACAAATACTTACTTAGTGCTGTCAAGCAAAGAATTATGCACAAATGGAAAAAACAATAAGCATAAAATGCAAGATGAGTCACACCTCTCAGAGAACCCCATACAGTCACTGATCTCAGAACAGCCTGGCCATCAGAAACACTCAGGTTATCTGCAACAACAAAACATGTTAAGACCATATGTTTTACCATATTACATATGCTTTATACTATGGCACAAACATATTATTTTTTTAATCTGGACAGTGTTATTACACCTTCTAATATAGCAGACTTTGATGATCAGAGTAAATAAAAGGTCAAAGGTCAGCAGGGGTTCCATCTCAAGATCACATGATCAGGAAACACTCACAGCTCTCATCTGAATCTTCATCAGGGTAGCCGTCACATCCTCTGCTTTTGACACTCACCGACACCACAAAGGGTTTGGACTCCGACCAGTAACGAAGCCCGTTTTCTGCTCAAATAAACATCACCATATCAACAGACATTATTTAGTATTGCTAAATTGTTTCATTTGACTATAAAGAGCTATTTAGACGCACACAAGCAGTCTGAACCCAGTTAAAAAGTGTTACTTTAAAGGGGTGGTATAATGACATTTTCACAAGATGTAAAATAAGTCTCTGATGTCCACAGAGTGTGTATGTGAAGTTTTAGCTCAAAATACCCCACAGATATTTTTATATAGCATGTTACAATTGTCACTTTTTGAGGGTGAGCAAAAAACGCACCGTTTTTGTGTCTGTCCCTTTAAATGCAAATGAGCTGCTGCTCCCGGCACAGGGGGCGGAGCTACAACAGCTTGTGTCCTGAAAATGTCAAAAACTTTTAGCCTTTTATGTTCAAACCAGAGTCGGACAAAGATGGAGAGACTCAAGAAGTGACAAAATGTAGACAACCTTTCTGAATGGTTAGTTGATGAAGTTATGTAGCTTATGTGTAGTTATCTTCTAGTCATTGACTCTAGCAGGGTTTATGTAAATTTTAGGGTTAGCGATGTCACTAACCCGGGAGGAATGTAGTGTAGTCCCTACCGGCCATTTGTTGTAGTCCTTAAAAAGCTATTTCTTTAAAAGAAAATATCTCCCTTTGCTTTGAACTTTGAGCGTTGTGACTTTGCAGATGTTGTTTATGCTCAAAAAGCAACATTACACACTAACTAAAGTAAGAAAAGTGAAATCATAATCAACCACCCCTTTAAACAAAACATGTTTGTGCACATATAGCTACACATAAAACTTCCTTTTTAAACATGTAAAGTAATTTGTATGACATATAAATTACGTTAAATGAAAGCAATAACAAATTAAATGCTATGGTTTATTTGAAAGAATTAAAAGAGCAATTCCATGTCTATCCTCCTTACTGTTTAACTGGTGTGTGTTTTAGAAAGTAATAATGCAATACTTAAGAGAGAGTAATTAGTATCTTAATTTTATGTAATTAGTAGCAAGTAATTGCTTTTTTAGAGTAACTTAACCAACACTGATAGGCTTACTACTAACTTTACTATACAGAAGTAGCTACATTTGTTTAATTCATTTTCTGGCATAAACCAACCTGGTCCTTTTGTAAAGTCAGGGAATATGATGGAGAAGTATCTTTTGAAAGCAGCATCCAGGACGGAGCATCCAGTCTGAGCTGCCGAGTCCTTTCCGTAAGTGAAGGAGAAGAGCTGCGGACTCAGACTGTATCTGTCCGGGGACTGATGGATCTGTTGCGGCAGCGGCCAGACTCCGCACACCGGCTCCACTGTGCGACTCACAACCACCAGCAAGAGCCAGACCCACAGACGAGGAGAGTGCGTGCCGGGGTGAGCCATTCTGCTGTCGCTTCACTCGTGTTTCAGTGTCCGACTGCAGGTGTGTGTCGCTCTTCACGAGAAATGCGCTGAAACTGTCAAAACACGAGTCATGTGACAGATAGTGTTTTTGTTCAGGTGACCTGAGCTGAGTTGCGGCGATTGTCATTGGCTCAGCTCGAGTCACATGGTCTATTTCCGGGATAATACCGTATATGGATAATACCACAGTCAATGGATAATACATAAAGGAAAAGAGGAAACAAGACAAGAAAGAAAACAACAACAACAGAGAGAGGTTACATATCTCTATAAATAGATACTTTTAACATGAAAATGTTAAAAGCGGGATGATAAAAAAGAAGATAACAAAACGATTATGTACCAACAGAAACTCTGAATTGCGAAAAATATTGAGAAAGAATTGCGAATAATTGTTTTTAAACTTTTTTCCGTTGGATTATTCGTTAGTTGATCTCTTCGTTTTTAGTTTACTCCGCACTGTTATTTCATTTTATGCTATTGGTAGGCTATTTCTGTTATTTTTTTAATATTAGCCTACCTGTTTCTCCATATAACCTACACTATTGTTATTATTTTGCCTATTTTATTTTATTTTAAGCTATTGGTATTTTTGTTATTTTTTTATATTAGGCCTAACGTTACTTATTTCTGCACTATATTTACTTATTTCGGCAATATCTCATTATATTAGCCTATATATTAGGCTATAGGCTATAGGCTACTCTGCACTGTTATTTTATTTTTGTTATTTTTTATATTAGGCTACTTTTTTCTCCATATGCACTAGGGCCTATTTACTTTTTTTGCGCAATATCTCATTATATTAGCCTTAATACTATATTATATTATATTATATTATATTATATTATATTATATTATATTATATTATATTATATTATATTATATTATATTACCATAGTCTGGGTGAATACTCGATTCTGATTGGCTGCAGGGTGTCCGTTAAAAAGTGATAGAGGACACCTAGGCTGCGTCCGAAATCGCGTACTTCCATACTATATAGTATGCGAAAAACAGTACGCGAGCAGAGTAGTATGTCCGAAATCATAGAATTCGAAAAACAGTATGCGAAAAGTACCCGGATGACCTACTACTTCCGGCGAGATTCTGAAGTGCGCATACGATGGACACTTTGCTATCCCATGATGCCACGGGAGAGGAGTTGTCGCCGTTATATTTGAAAATGCCGGAAACCGGAGACGCGGGAGTTTTCAAGTGTAAGTACTATATAAAACACTTTTTGTTTATTTGTGGTTAAATTGTGTTTGTTTAACATCATATAAGTAAACGATTGACGTGTTAAACGTTTAAATAATGTAAATCGCGGGTAAAATTTTCTGAATTGGCTGCAAAATGACACTTTTTATCATTATCATTATTACCGAACAGAACGAGCTAATGCCTGTCAGCTAGCTAACTCTGTTTTCTTTAAACAAAGACGTTCGTTGTTTCGCAGTTTAATGAGATAGTTACACAACTTTTATTTTTTTTATTTTAAAACGATTTTATTTCTCCTTTACCAGTGTTGTTATTATGAAATATGTGTTGGCTACATAGCAAACTACTGTTAACAAGTGTAACTTACCTCAACTTGTCAATGTAACATTAATAGATTGACCATAGTTCATCACATGTTAAATCCTGTGTTGATTTTGCAGGGGCAAAATGGTAAGATTAGGAATATGTAGATTCAATGGTAAGTTATTTGTAACTTAGATGTAAACATTTCGACTCAAGCTCTTACTGCATTTCTTTTATGCTTGATTTCTGTGCATTTATTGCAGAGTTTTTATCACAGAGCAGAGCCTAGAGGGCAAAACCTTAAACAAAAATATAAAGTAAGTTATTTTGGTAACACTTTACTTGAAGGGGTGTGCATAAGACTGACATGACACCTTTATAATCATGACATGACACATGTCATTAATATTAAGGTGGTTTTATGCATGTTTATGACAACTGTCACTAAGTGTCATTCGCTCAATTTTGACATTTTTAATGCAAATATAACAGTTTGAGATGTCTTTGTCATGACAACTTGGCATAAACCAATAGGCCTACATCATAACCTGTCAGTGTCAAGTTTGTCTCAAAAAATGTCATTTGCATTAAAAATTTAATAATTGAGCAAATGACACTTAATGAGTTGTCATAAACAAACATGTGTCATGTCATTATTATGAAGATGTCATGTCAGTCTTATGCACACCCCTTCAAGTAAAGTGTTACCGTTATTTTTTATTATTTTTATAGTTCACCCCAAAATAAGAATTCTGTCATGGTTGAATCATGCTCATGTTTGGCCCTGTAATGCAATCATTTAACGAATTATATGTTTTACAAGCAAACAAGCAAATTCCAGGTATATCTGAAAAATATATTGTCTGACTATGAATGCCGCACTGTAGAGAAATACCCACACACTTCAGACACCTTTAAAATTTATTTGCTTTATTTTTGTGTATTAACTTTTAAATGGATACAGAATACAAAGCTTAAAACAAAATCACATAACTTAGGCATAAAGTAGTATAATAGAGCTTAAAGCACCTTAAAGGAAAAGTATTAAAACATTTTTATTATGGTGTCATCATGAGGAAAGACAATTAACTTTAGCAGCTTCAGTAAGGTAACTTTCACAGGTTTCTAAAAAGATCTAAAGGGACTTTGATAATAGCAATCTCATTTGTAGGGCATCACTTTAAAATGATTAAATATGTTTGTTTTTTCAACGCATGTGTACAAGACGAGGCAAGGATACCCACCATCTCCAAGTATGCACTTTCCTGCAGGTGGAAACAGGCGGCCAGTGTACACAGGGCTGTTCTTCAGCACCCTGGCATCGTGCACCGACCCAGGATACCCAACAAAAATGTCGAGGAACTTCCCCTGGTGGTCAGTGATGGCCTGCAGCTGGAAAGAATTAAGCCTGGAACACACCAAGCCGACGCCGACGAACTAGCGCCGATGAAAGCCGACTGTGTTGTCGCCTCTCGTTGCCTCTCGTCGGGGGTAAAAAGCTGCACTTGAACACACCGAGAGAACTACCGCCGACTGTCAGCTAGAATGCGCGTTCTGCGCCTGCGTGTAAATGAGACAACTGTCTATTTCTGCAGATATATTCTCTATATTCGTCATTCAAAAAGAGGAAACCAACGCTGTCGGCTGCAGATACACAAACCATAAACAAAGCAGTGCGTGCTTACCGTTTTAAATATCAATCCTGCTAAACACTTTCTTTATTCCACTCCGCTCGTGTTAATATTGAAATATTCGCCAAGGAACACCCAGGCAAGATGATGTAACATAAGAACAGCCTTCTATCTGTAGAGTTTTGACTTCTTTGCTCGCTGTTTTGCTATTATTCTCGTGCATGACTCTTTCACTAAGCTGAACAGCCAATCAGAGTTCCCTCTTTCACCGACGGCCCGACGCCGATTCAACATGTCGAATCGGCCGAAACAAAGCCGACGAGGACCAATTTCAGCCGACGGCACGGAACCGTGCGGAACACACCGAGGAAACTTAGTCGGCCGACGCACAAAAACTGCCCGACGGCCGACCGTCGGCTTGGTGTGTTCCAGGTTTTAAACAGCTTTCCGGTTGAAGTAGCACTGGACGTCACTTCCTAGTGGTTTGATGCGGATGTGATACACCAGCTACTACACTGAAAGCTGGAGACTCCGCAAAAGCTCTCGATGAAGGCGTGATCTGCGAGCAGCTGACCGACGCCGATGAAAACAGAAAGCAGAACTAAAAACAGCGCGAAGTTGGTGCAGTCAGTGGAATGGGCTCTTTAAATTTCCGCGCTGTTATGACAGCGTATGTCACGTGACAATTCCAACATGGCGCATGTAGTACGTCCGGACTCTATTCATACTACCCGTATTCATACTATATAGAACGTACTTTTTTAACGGTCGCGAAGTACGTTCTTATTTAAATGTAGTACCTACTCACATAGTACGCGATTTCGGACGCAGCCCTAGTAAAGTAGTTCTGGTGAAACTGACTGTTTACCATTCGAAATTAATAAATAAATGGCAACCATAGCAACAGGCAGTCAAAGTATCCGTTAACAATTTGCTCTATCAAAACAAACATCTAACGTTAGTTAGATATTACATAGCCTAGGTAGGCTACTAATACAACAATGAGCGACTTCGTTATTTCTTTTAACATTTATAGAGAATATAACAACTTTGACGACTGGGATGCTGCTGAAGAAAGAAAAAATGTAAATAAAACAGAGATTGATCTGATTTTATTTATTGCCCTCTATAAGCGCAAATCGCTGAAGTGCAGAACAATTTAAAAAAAAAAAAATTTATTGTTGTTTGATTAATTGTTTTATGTGTAAAAAAAAAAATAACTATGTCTACCTATGTGTTTCATGAAAAAAAAAATGCATTTTTGAACCTGAAGGGTTCTACAAGCTGAGCGGACTATAAATATCTCCGGTTGCTAAATAAACCGTCAGGCAAGTTATTATTTGTAAAAACTAGATTTAGCCTAATTAAAATATAAACTAATATTTTAAAAATGTTTTATTTGGCAAGTGACCATGGTATAAGCGGGTTAATGCCCTCCGAGGTGTCCATTGTCAGGTTTTAATGGACTTCGGGGGAAGTTCACACCTCGCCGTCGTCCATTAAAACCTGACAATGGACACCTCGTCGGGCATTAACCCTTAATTACTTATATTATATTATATTATATTATTGGCACAATATTTTTTTTATTACATTTTTCGTCACCGTTTTTATCGTTTGTGCTGATATTCTGGTAAATTGTAATGATACATAAATCGTAGGCATATTTTGAAATTGAGAACTAAATTTGAGAGTCGGGAAAAGCCTCTAGATGGCGTCAGACAGTCAAACAAACTCTTAAATTCTAAAGTTATCTGTGTAGGCTACATAACAAAAGTAAGGTATTTTAAATGGACAGGACTATGGGATCACGTAAAATTAAAGGCAGGAAAAAAAATGATTACAGGAAAATGTAATCTGAGTAAAGTAACACATACCACTGTCATAGTGCCTGCACTTCCCAATGAAAACATGACAGCTTAACTGGATTAAATTACCATC